CTTCTTCTTCTTCTTCTTCTTCTTCTTCTTCTTCTTTTTTTTCTTCTTCTTCTTCTTCTTCTTTTTCTTCTTCTTCTTTCTTGTCGTTCTTGAAGCGCTTCATGCTGTAATTGTTTTTGCTGTTTATGCTTCAGCTGCCTCGATAGCTGGCTCTTTTTTTTTTCGAGTCGCAGATGTTTTACTACTTGAATGTAGCTGATTAGATTTGAATTAAGAGGGTCTTTTGTCTTGTGGTGCATGGGGCTGACGTCAACAAAGTCTTTTATTTTTTAGGTATAAATCATTTCCCTCGGTCTAACGCCACTGTAAATGCTGCTTATGTAAGTCTGCTTCGGTCTTTCTCATCTTTTTTTTTTTAAAAGTAACCTTTCCACTTTTCTGTGAAGTCGCTTTTTGAAAAGCTCTCTGGCATTTTCAAAAAAGTCTTCAATACTCAAACTGCTTTTTTAGATCATCCCCCCCCCCAACCCTATTTTTTTATTATTATAATTTTTTCCCTTCATTATACTTCATATGCAATTACTTGAAATTAGTGGACTGTGTGTACCAGTTTCTGTTGATCCTCATATTTTGGTTAAGGTGGTGGTCGTACTAATGGAGAATGGTTATAGTAGTGTTAGTGAGGGAGTGGGTTTTAACTACCTACTCGTTTTTTGAAGCCAGGTCTTTTACTTGCTGTTGCAGTTTTGCGTTATCGTCCTTTGCCGTCTGAGAGGGAAAAAAACCGCAACAGTGGGGTATTACTTTTGACATCAATCTAAGACTGCCAACATGGAAGAAAGAGGTTGGGGGGGGGGGTGTTCAGGAACAGCATCAATACACACAAAAAAAGTGCGTGTGAAGGAATGTGACTAAATATGGTATTGCAAAAGGTAAATGAGATATCACATTATATACTTTAGTTTGTGGTAAGAGTTTTTACGGCACATGCAACACAACTAGGTCATGCAAGAGCTGATAAATTAAATGGTTTCGTGCCTCATTATATGAACATTTCACCTTTGCAAATACGAAGTACCATTATTCCTAAAGGAAACACGAGCACTTACATTTGTCTGGGAAATAGAGAACTAAACAGTTGGGACTGGAAGGTGAAAAGAGTGGGGGGTCCTTTACCGTTAGCTCCCGTTTGAAGTCATCCAGATGTCGGTTAGCCAGCTTTAGTTTGGCTTCCAGTTCTTTTTGTTCGCTCTTCTCTTTTATTAATTTCTTTTCCAGACTTTGAATGTGAACGTCCAGAGCGTGCTTCGTTTTCTGGAAGTACAAATGGACGCCCATGCAAATAAAGTGCAAGGACACGTAATGTCATGTAAAGATTTGAAATTAGATAAGAGTGTGCGTGCACGCGAGTGCGCATGTGAGTATGAGTGTGTATGTGTGTTGTGTGTGCATGTGTGTCTATATGTGTGCGTGAAAGAGTGGGGGAGGGGGGTCGTGTATGAGTACCGAGAAAGTGTGTACCGTGTGTGTTTGCGCGCACGCGCGTGTGTGTGTATGTGTGTGTGTGTATGTGTGTGTGTGTGAGTGTGTGTGTGTGTGTGTCTGTGTTTGTGTTTGTGTGTTTGTATGTTTGTGCGTGTGTGCGCGTGTGTTAATGTGTATGTGTGAGTGTGTATAGAAAAGAGAGGGGATGTGGTGGGTGTGCGTGAATGTGTGTGTGTGTGGGGATGGGGAGGGGTGGAGTGTGTGTATGGGGGGGGTGTTCATGCATGTGTATGTGTGTTTGTTTGCATGTTTATATCGTACGCGTGTGTGTGGGAGACAACAACAACAACAGTAACAGTAACAACAACAACAACAACAACAACAACAACAACAACAACAACGCTAGAAACAATAATATCACTACACCTACCATCAAAGCCCCTTCTTGTGCGATGCTGCAGGTCAGAGCAGCTTTTGTTTCCTGTCGCTTTGATTCCAAAATCTTTTGCTGTTTGGTGCATTCTTCGTTTGCTTTCAACAGCGTCTGTTTCGCGCTGACTGCCATGTCTAGTTTTTTGCTCAGTCTCTGAACTTCCAGCCCGGTCATTTCCATTATTTCGGCTTTCTGTGGAACCAGGTCAGGAACTCATTCTCTGAACACAACTAAGCTGTTTGACTCGATTACTTTTTGCAGAGAAAATAAATGTTACGTTTTAGTTTTAGAACGAGTTTTACGGCACTTCCAACACAATTAAGCAATAAGTGCCGAGGTGTTGCAAAAGAGTAACATACATCAGACTAATCAAATTTGAGGACTAATCAAACTCTACAAGGCCTTATAAGAACAAATGAAAAGGAATACAGGGACGCTGTAAATGTATTTACAAATTGGTGTGATAACAACTTCCGTCCACTAAATGTAAAAAGACAAAGGAATTAATCATGTACTTTCGAGTAAAACAAGACCAGTTGCAACCCCTAATTTATTAAAGAAGAGGAGGTGGAATTGGTAAGCTCTTACAAATATCTTGGCATAACAACTGATAACAAACTTGACTTTCATCCCCACGCTGCTCTTGTGCATAAAAAAAGTAAATTCAAAGAAGGTTCCTTTTAAGGAAATTAAAAAGTTTCCGAGTCGATAATAAGATTATGTCCCCTTTTATACCATTATAATATTATGATTGAAAGCATGCTGTTTCATGTATTTTGAATTTGCTGCTGGGCTGGGAATTGTATGGTGAAAGATAGAGAAAATTTTGACAGAACCATTAAGAAAGCCAGCAAGATCTCTGGATATGATTTTACTAGAATTGATTAAATGTATAACACCACTCGTATAAAAAAAAAGATAAAAAGCATAATAAACTACCCATCACACCCCCTTTCCTCGCAAATTGTCAGATCACACAGCGGCATATATGTACATCTAAAAAGAAAGAAAGAAAGAAAGATATAGCAGAAGTTTTTTTTACCATCTAACCTAAGCCTATTGTCAGAATAAACATAGATGTGTATTGTTCTTTAGAGTATGTATCTGTATAACTCCAAAGGTCTTTTAATTAAATTCCTGCATGGGGTTGAATGATGCATCTAATGTGATATATGTACATTATGTCAGCTTTACTTCTCTTTTCATATTGAATGAGAGTAATATATAATTTCAATTGTTATGTATACCTGCATGTGTTTTTACGGTACTGTACAGCGAAGAAAAATTTCCCTTTGGGATAATCAAGTATTATCTTATCTTATCTTACAAAGAAAAGAAGGAGAAGAGAAAAGCGTGATAGATGTTTGATAGGAAAGAAGGAGCAAACCAAACCTGAGCACCTGCCGACCACTGATAGAAAAAAAAGTTTACGAAAGGGACCTTTCTATTCATGCTAAGTAAAAATTAAAGGCTTTTTTTCTCACCTTATCGATATAAAATAATTATGGTAATTAATTTTAATAAAGCGCTTTAAGAGGGGGGGGGGGGGCTACAACCCCAAAGTTCCGATTCGGCTCAAAATTATGAAATTTGAGTCGTAGGCATTTTTAGATTCGTCAGAGGGGGCTCTCGTGGCCTAGAGGTTAAGGTGTTGGCCTCTCATTCAAAAGTCCCGGGTTCGAATCCGGGTAGCGACCGAAAAATCTTCTTCTCTAAAATTTTCTCCTTTCACCTCCTTTCCTGCTCTCTAGCAATGTTCTGTTGTTTGCTTTCAATTCCATTTTCTGCCCCCACCCCTTCACCTCCTTTGCCCCCTCCTCTGGGCTCCTGACTCTTTCTGCAGCCTTTCTACTGCTACTCCTTGGCTCCTCCTTACTGCTGTCTTTCTGATCCTCTGGTAGGAAAGATCTACACCTAGCCTTCTTGGACAAGAGCGAAAAATCTCGGTGGGCCCGTGTACAAGTTGCGCACGTTAAAGATCCCTTGGTGGTCAAAAATCGATAAGAGTAGGCTTCGGCCGCCACCCGGGCAAAATTCCAAATTTCCTACCAACTGAAAATGTTAGGTGTGTCCCGCGCGCTCATATGACCTTATGCAGTTGCGAGCGCCGTAAAACACTTTACAAAAACAAAACAAAACAAAAAAGTTTCGTCAGTTTATCCAACAACTATTTCATTGCGTAAGAACCCCAAAAGCCTATTTCTTCCCATACCTGGCATGTTTGTCCACACCATTTCCTAATAAAGTCAATATTTTATTTTTCTTTATCGGCCCTCTTCTCCAAACGCGATTTTTCTCTATACTTTTTTAATAACTCCACCATTTTTCATCCAATCTTCATGAAATTTTCACAGAATGAAGAGAAGATATAGTAATAAAAATGTACCCGTTGAATTTTTCATATATGGAATAGCTTTTTGTTGGGGTGTCTGGAGTGTGGATTGTCTCGGTTTTGTTTTTTTTGTTGTTGTTGTTTGTTTGTTTTGTTTTGGGGTTTTGTTTGTTTGTTTTTTTGCAAACTTGAATAGATCTACTACCTTAGGAAAAAAATTAATAAAAAATTTTCTAATTTGTTTAGGAAAAAAATCTACAAACAAATTTTTAGATCTAATGTGTGCTAACATGCATGCAAAAAAAAACAATCAATTTCTTTGAACAATGAGTGTGAAATTCATTACGTAAGACATGTTAACAAAATCCAATATGGCCGCTGTATCTATGAAAACGAAACTTTTCTCTCAAATTTGATTGCGGATTTTAAGACTCCTTACTATGTTTATCATATGTGTATAATTTTGTCAAATTTGGCCAACTAATAAGCGAGATAGCCTTCAGGTGTAAACCCCCCCCCCCCCCTTAAGATTAAAAAATCCTTCACGTGGTTAGGACAAAATATCAATTTTCCATTTTTCATCGTTGGTGTTGTGAAGACTAACAGGAACACTAAAATGTTGTATTTATAACATGGCTTACACTTTAGAGTAAAAATGTAGAAACTCAAAAGGATTGACTTAATACACTCAAAAAGTGCTATCTTATTTTAACCAAACACAGTGTCGGGGCACATTTCCAACCGTCATACACATAACAGAAACACCAACTGCATAATTCGTCATATTGATGCATGTTATTCCCCTGCCTTTTTAAATTTTAGATGAAGAAATCAGAATTGAAAAATATGTTTGAATATTGAATAATGAAGATAGGCTACTTTCTTCAAAGCTTAAAAAATCTTCAAGCGCTGTAAAATGACAAAAATGCGCGTCCTCAAAGAATTAATGAGCTATTTGGGGGTGGAGGAGATTCTTTACTTCTTTTAACTGTGCTTTTCCCCTCCCGAAAGAGGAGATAACAGGCGACTACACAGTAATAATTTATGTATACAACGCGCGCGGATCATTTCAGTTATTTTTAAAAACTCACCTCTTCCTGTATTTTTTTCAAATCGTGCTCACTCTTCGTCTTGCACTGTACCGTCACCTCCTTTAACTGTTTCGTCAGGCTCTCGACCTTGTTTTCTAAAGTCATTTTGACGGTTTCCTGTTGTTCCATATCGCCCCTGAATGATTGCAGTATGTTCAATTCAAGTCTGTTCATACAGAACTATCCTTATACTGTAAATTTATGCAATACACTTACAACTGCATGCAAGGATTTTTGACCAAAGTGAAGAAGGAAAAAACACAAGACGATGCAAAATAAACACAGGCAAACTCAGGGAAGAAGAAAATATTGAGATTGTCTACGGGAGAACAAAAATGTAAACGAGGTGAACATAATCACGTTAAGTAACACGCACACACATACAAACACACACC